TTGGAGAATCACCAAGTGATACAAAATATGCACTGCTCCTCAAATGGATTGAAAGAGGAAATTGGTTAATATGTTAGAGCATATAGGGTCATAGAAACAAGGAGCAGGAATAGCAAGGGCAGTATTTGCTGCCCATCCCTAGTTCCTCCGAATTGTTTGACTATTTCAGAGGGCAGTTAAGTGTCAACCACATTATTGTGGATCTGGAGTAATATGTAGGTCAGATCAAATAAGAATGGCAGAGCTCCTTTCCTAAAGAACATCAGTGAATGAGTCAAGTTTTTATAACAGTTTATGACAGTGTAACCATCACTGAGACCAGCTTTATTTATGATTATATCAATTTGGAGCAGGTGCTGGATAACTGGCCCCCTCAAGCCTGCTTCACCATTCAATAAGATCATGGCTGACTTGACTGCAATCTCAGCTCCACGTTCCCATCTACCCCCAAAATTATATTGAATTGAATTCAAATTCCACCAGCTGTTACAATGGAATTTAAACCCATGCTCTACAGCATTGTCCCACGCTCCCGGATTACTAATCCTGTGACATTAATAGTACCTGAGATAACAAGGTGTAGAGCTGAATGAACACAGCAGGCCAAGCAGCATCAGAGGAGCAGGAAGGCTGACGTTTCGGGCCTGGACCCTTCTTCAGAAATGGGGGAGGGGAAAGGGGTTCTGAAATAAATAGGGAGAGAGGGGGAGGCGGATAGAAGATGGATGGAGGAGAAGATAGGTGGAGAGGAGACAGACAGGTCAAAGAGGCGGGGACGGAGCCAGTGAAGGTGAGTGTAGGTGGGGAGGTAGGGAGGAGATAGGTCAGTCCAGGGAGGACGGACAGGTCAAGGGGGCGGAATGAGGTTAGTAGGTAGGAGATGGGGGTGGGGCTTGAGGTGGGAGGAGGGGACAGGTGGGAGGAAGAACAGGTTAGGGAGGCGGGGACGAGCTGGGCTGGTTTTGGAATGCGGTAGGGGGAGGGGAGATTTTGAAGCTTGTGAAATCCACATTGATACCATTGGGCCGCAGGGTTGCCAAGCGGAATACGAGTTGCTGTTCCTGCAACCTTTGGGTGGCATCGTTGTGGCACTGCAGGAGACCCAGGATGGACATGTCGTCTGAGGAATGGGAGGGGGAGTTGAAATGGGAGGTGCAGTTGTTTAGTGCGAACTGAGCGTAGGTGTTCTGCAAAGCGGTCCCCAAGCCTCCGCTTGGTTTCCCCGATGTAGAGGAGGCCACAACGGGAACAGCGGATACAGTATATCACATTAGCAGATGTGCAGGTGAACATCTGCTTGATGTGGAAAGTCTACTTGGGGCCTGGGATGGGGGTGAGGGGGCACCTTGTCGAAGGCCTTTTGGAAATCTAGGTATACCACATCCACTGGGTCCCCATTGTCCACCTCGCTCGTAATGTCTTCATAGAATTCCAAAAGATTTGTCATGCCCTTCATGAACCCATGCTGCGTCTGCCCAATGGGACAATTTCTATCAAGATGCCCTGCTATTTCTTCCTTGTAGGGGCAGGTGTAGCACTTCTTGCGGTTGCAGGGGAAAGTGCCGGGTGTGGTGGGGCTGGAGGGGTGTGTGGAGCGGACAAGGGAGTCACGGAGAGAGTGGTCCCTCCGGAAAGCAGATAAGGGTGGGGAGGGAAAAATGTCTTTGGTGGTGGGGTCAGATTGCAGATGAAGGAAGTGTCGGAGGATGATGCGTTGGATCCAGAGGTTGGTGGGGTGGTACATGAGGACGAGGGGGATTCTTTTTTGATTGTTATTGCGGGGAGGGGATGTGAGAGATGAGTTGCGCGAAACATTTCAACTCCCCCTCCCATTCCTCAGACGACATGTCCATCCTGGGCCTCCTGCACTGCCACAACGATGCCACCCGAAGGTTGCAGGAACAGCAACTCATATTCTGCTTGGGAACCCTGCAGCCCAAATGGTATCAATGTGGGCTTCACAAGCTTCAAAATCTCCCCTCCCTCTACCGTATCCCAAAACCAGCCCAGCTTGTCCCCGCCTCCCTAACTTGTCCTTCCTCCCACCTATCCCTTCCTCCCACCTCAAGCCCTACCCCCATCTCCTACCTACTAACCTCATCCCGCCCCCTTGACCTGTTCATCCTCCCTGGACTGACCTATCTCCTCCCTACCTCCCCACCTACACTCACCTTTACTGGCTCCATCCCCGCCTCTTTGACCTGTCTGTCGCCTCTCCACTTATCTTCTCCTCTATCCATCTTCTATCCGTCTCCCCCTCTCTCCCTATTTATTTCAGAACCCCCTTCCCCTCCCCCATTTCTGAAGAAGGGTCCAGGCCCAAAACGTCAGCCTTCCTGCTTCTATGATGCTGCTTGGTCTGCTGTGTTCATCCAGCTCTACACCTTGTTATCTCAGATTCTCCAGCATCTGTAGTCCCTATTATCTCTGATACATTAATAGTACCTCACTGACTCCCCCAGCGTGTCAATCCCCGTTCTGAGCATACTTATTGGCTGAGCCTCCACATTTTCTGGAATACAGAATTACAAAGTTCACCTCTCTGTGAGTGAAGAGGTTCCCCATCTATTACTGTTGTTACATTTTATTCTGAGTTTGATCTCAGGTTCTAGATGCCTGATCTCTTGATTCAAATTACAATAATTTGGCTTTTCAAATGCCCTGCAACATTATCCTTGCCAAGAGATTGAATGTTAATGGTTTATATACAACAGAAGAAATGTCTATGTTGATTTTTCTTCATTTAAGTGCTATCACCAATATTATAGACACTACAAATGCATTTTGTTGTGGGAGATGTTTAATGATCAAAATCGGACCTTCATTCCTTCCCCACCCCAGCCTCAAAACGGTTCATCTTCATTTCAGATTTTTCACATCTAATGGATAATTCTGTACCTTTCTGGTCTCTTCAAGAAGTGCATACTATCCAAATTATCCCTCGTGTCTAATCTTAAAAATGAGAATATCTTTTAATATCCTCACTGTGGAACAAATCCATTATATACTTAACATAGGATTCAGGTCAAGTTTGTTTTTTTCACTGTTTGTTTAACTTCCTGGCCAATCCCCCACGATTTCTCAGGAAACTATTAGTCTATCTCTGTATCAGAACATTCTTCAAAAAAACTAATACTTTCTCCAGATCTTGATATAAAAACTGGAAAGTTTCAGTTCAACTTGAGTTCCACAGCACAAAATCATACTTGAACCTTTTAGCCATAAAAATCATTTGACAAGCAGATTCTAGTGAGTCAATCTGCAGGATCAAATGACATCTGAAATGCTGTACGTTTACTGCAAACAGTCAAGTTCAGTTTTGTTAGCTTCCACAAATCTTTGACAGCATGGCCGTGGGTGTGAATCAGCTAGGTCTAGCCAAATCAGTAAAATCCCTCTCCTTTTCTCATCTGAACACTGCCCCGGAGCAATATCATTTGAAAGCACTGCACTTTCCACATACGTGGTGGCAATACCCAGCTCTATCTCACCATCCCCTCATTCATTTCTTCCACTGTCTCTACATAACCAGACAGTTTCCACCTATTAAATCTTGGGCAGAACGAAGCCATTATCTTTGGTCCTTGAAAGGAGGTCTGCTTGCTAGCTACCAGTTTTCGTTGTACTCTTTGTGTTATATTTGACCCAGAGTTTAAATTCTGGCCACATAGGCCTGATGTCACAAAGTCTACTTATTTTCATATCCACAACATTTGGCCCAATGTAAGTCCATTAGTTTTGAAACCCTTACGCATTCATTAACTCTGGACATGACCATTCCAATGAATATCAAGTTGGCCTCCCAAGTTCTCCTTTTCTTAAACATGGCATCATTTAAAAGCCTGTGGACTCTGTCTTAACATGCACCAAGTTCCATTCACCCATCTTTCCCTGCGCACTCTGACCTACAATGGCTCACAGTTAAGCAGTGCCTTGATTTTCACATTGCTATCCTGGCTTTCAAATCCCTCCGTGACCTTGCAACACCCATGCACATCCCCTGACAATGTATGTAATCTCTATCAAACTCATAGCCCCTCTAGGCACATTCACTCCTTTAATTCCAGCCTGTCAACTCAATTTGTACTGTTTCATCATAGATAGCCTTACATTCAACTTCCTAGGGCCTAAGCTTTAGAATTCTCTTGCTGAACCTCTGCATCATTCCTTCCTCCTTCAAAACAGAACTTAAAATCTACCTCTTTGATGAGGTTTAAATCATTTGCCTTCAGATCTCTTTCAGTACTCAGTATCAAAATTTTACTCTATAAAGTTCCTATGACATGCCTTGGGATGTTTTATAAAGTCATGTGATATAAATTGTTGTTGCAATTGCTCAGAATATGGTTATATTCTGGGCTGAAATTCTCCATGAAACTCATCATTAAAGTATTTTTCTGTTATAAAATGTTTAAATAGTACAGTGACTTCAGGCCAAGGGATGACGTGGTTAAACGCCAAAGTTGCACTCTCTGCTATTAGCTTCATGAAGATAACATCTCAAATTGGTCTCCCTTTTATTTGAAGAAATCTTCTGTATTTTCTCAAATACTTTATTAATTGTACTTTTGTTGTTAATGATTTCCAATGAACATCAACCATTACTTGCCTTTTTAATTTCAACCTTCCTTACGTTCTCTTAATTTATTTTGCTATACCTGATTTGACAACAAACCATTCCTCTTTTAATTCACCCTCCTCCTCAGTCCTTTATATGGTTATTTCCCAATCATTAAGGAGACATCCTGTTGCTTTCCTTATTCACTCTAGTCTAAGATGCCTGTCTGCCCTTGCTGTACTCTTATCAGATTGCATTTTCAGCAACTTTATAAACAAACGTCTTTTGAGTCGAAGGTTGTAAGGTCATGCCTAACTAATGTCTCAACCACTGCAAAATCAAGCTAATTGTAATCAATGACATCTGACAACAGACATGCAAGGAAGCTCACAACAAAACACAGCACGAGATTACAGATTCTGGAATATGTGGATGTACTTACAACAGAGCGCTTTCTGGAGTCGGCGGATCTTCATTGCTGTCCGATAAGCAGAAAAACGCACATTGTTTAAATCACCTGCATTCAAAAAAATCTTTAGACATATTTTTCCTAACTGTGAGTACAATCATTTCAATTAGAACAAATTCTCAACTACCTATACAATGAATAGAGAGGGATAAATAGCTGCCGAAGAATACAAGGCACAGTGAAAGGAAATGACAACTACGAGGTTCAATTTATTTCCACATATTTTCTGGGATGGGAACATCACTGGCAGGACCAGCATTTGTTACCCATTCCTCATGTAGGTGGTAGAAAGCTACATGAAATTCATGTCATAACTGGCAAACAGCATCTGGTGAATACAGTGGAACTCACTAAAGTCTCACTGTCAGCTTTGAGATAGGAGAGAAAAGAGACAGATAATCATGCTTGGTGTAAAGTCTGGATTCTTGCCGCCTGGTTTTTCAGGGTCACGAAGGGCCTTGAGATCTGAAATGGTATCTTTGACTCATGAGCACACATCAAATGCAAGTTGCCATGGATGCCATTCTGACAATTCTATGTTGCATGCAGCGAATATCTGATGAAAGGATGTAGAGTAGGCAAGATATTGCCAATACTGTGATATCAGAGCTCAATGCTTAAAGTCCCTCAATGACACATTGCTGAACGTATGTTCACCAGGAACATGAATAGCCCCTCTGCCAGAGTTATTTAAAGACATTGTCAGCTACTTGCAGAATAATTGATGATGGATTCGTAGAACTTACAGCATAGAACATCGAATTGTACAGCACAGTACAGGCCCTTCGGCCCACAATGTTGTGCTGAGCTTTTACCCTAAACCTAAGGTCTAGCTAACCTCCACCCTTACCTCATACTATCATCCATATGCCTGTCTAATAGCCGCTTAAATGCCCCTAATGAGGCCGACTCCACTATCCTCTCTGGCAATGCATTCCACGCCCCTACCACTCTCTGAGTAAAGAACCTACTTCTCACGTCTTCCCTATATCTACCTCCACTCACTTTAAAACTATGCCCCCACATAATAGCTACCTCCACCCTAGGAAAAAGTCTCTGGCTATCCACTCTATCTATATTCATACAGTTATTGCCAAAATGTATGGGTTTTGATATTTTCTACACTTCTTTAAAGTTGCCAAAGTCCACATGTAAGTTCTGAAGGACTCTGTGAAAACTTCAAGGCTGCTACGCAAATCATTCACAGACATGTATGCAGTAATAGACATTTGCAGAAAACCATGTAGGTCAATGCTCGATATCCTGGCAACTGTCATAATGCTTTCAAGTTGCAAGTGTGCTGTGCCAGCCACTTTGGGCCATCATAAAAAACTAAGGGGTAGCTACTGAGCTACAGCACCAACCCACTGACAACTGGGCTTCTGACTCTTGTATGCAATCTATGCATGTGCAACAGCACATCCACATGAAGTTTGACAGGGCAGGTCCTCGTCTTCCTGAAACAAATTTTTTGCTGTCTGGATAACTCTGGGGAGGCTTCCAGCACTTGGCAGAGGTAGGAATACACATAGCTGCATGATTGGGACTACAGTAGGTGAAAATAAAGGCATTACCTGCTTACTGACACTCAGTTTGGGTTCTACCAGGGCCACTCAGCTCCTGACCTCATTATAGCCTTGGTTCAAACGTGGACAAAAGAGGTGAGGGAGTGAGGGCGAGAGTGATTGTTCTTGACATCAAGGCCGCATTTGACCAAATGTGGCATCCAGGAAACCGAGCAAAACTGGTTTTAATGGGAACGGGGGGAAAGCTCTCTGCTCGTAGGAGTCAGATCTAGCACAGAGAAGATGGATGTGTTTGCCTGGGGTTAGAGTCTTGGAAGCATACTGCATGGATATAAGCCTTTCAGCCCAACACATTATGCATCCAGAGATTATGACATTGAAGGCTCTGCTTCTTAAAATGGTGCCTAATTCCTCATAACGACTATTCACAAACTCCTTTTTTGTCCTGCCTATGTGATTGGTACCCACATGGCCTACAACGCCTACAACGACTGGATTCTCCACCTCTCACTGCAAGATCTTCTCCAGTCCTGAGCAGATAAGACCATAAGATATATGAGCAGAATTAGGCCAGTCTGCACACTGAGTCTGCTCTGTCATTCGACCATGGCTGACATACTTCTGAACCCCATTCTCTTGCCTTCTCCCCGTAACCCTTGATGCCCTTACTAATCAAGAACCTATTTATCTCTGTCTTAAATACACTCAATGACTTAGCCTTCACAGTCTTCTTTGGCAATGGGTTCCACAGTTACAGACTCTCACTCTTTGCTGCACAGAACAGAGTCAATCCCACTGACTATACTACATTGCTTTTATCAAGCCCCATTGAAAGTTTTCTTTTACCACCGTGCGATAGTCAAATTGCTCATCCACCCTAAAGCTCACGCCTTCTAGTTCCCCTATCAGCCTCATTCAGTCACATAAGAACATGGAAACAAGAAGCAGGAATAGGCCTATCAGCCCTTCAAGCCAAGTCCACCATTCAATAAGATCATGACTGATCTTCTACCTCAATATCATATTCCCACTTTCCTGCATACTCATTGATGCTTTTAACATCTAAAAATGTATCATAGAATCAAAGAATCCCTACAATGCAAAATGTATTCAGCTGATCACGTCTACACTGACCCTTCGAAGTGCATCGCGTCCAAGACTGGCCCCTCCATCCTTGCCCCATAACTTTGCATTTACCATGCCTCATCCACCTCACCTGCACATTTTTGGACTGTGGGAAGAAACCGGAGCACCTGGTGGAAACCCACACAGATGCAGGGAGAATGTACAAACTCCACACAGACAGTTACCCAAGGGTGGAATCAAACCAGGTCACTGGCACTGTGAGGCAGCAGTGCTGAGCCACTGAGCCACCTTGTCTTGTTCTTGAATACATTCAGTGATGGCCCCCATAGCCTTCTGTGGTTGAAAATTTCACAGATTCACTCTCCTTGAATGAAGAGATCCTAGTCCTAATTGGTCTACCCGAAATCCTGAGACTGTGACCTCTGCTCCTAGACCCCCAGCATCTCTAATCCAGCCTTCAGCTCATAAACACGAGCTACTCAAACATTAAATGCTTACAGCAAACATGCTTGCACCAGACCAAACTGGAACACAGGAGCTCCTTCATGTTATACCCGAGTTCTAATTAATGACTTATCTATTTTTATTTAATTATATATATTTACTTATGTTTTCATACATCTTATTAACTTTACCATCAGTTATTATATCATGTTAAACCTTAGGAATAGAATAAGCCACAGTTACTAATGGATATTCATCAAATAACTAGCTTCTTCTTCTCTAGCACTGGAAGAGTCAATTACTGAAGGCTGAGAAGTTAGTAAAGGCAAGAGTACTATTTTTTTTTCTTTATTCATTCTCGGGATGAGGGCATCGTTGGCTAGGCAGCATTTATTGCCCATCCCTAATTACCCAGAGGGCAGTTAAAAGACAACCACATTGCTGTGGGTCTGGAGTCACATGTAGACCAGGCCAGGTAAGGATGGCAGTTTCCTTCCCTAAAGGACATTAGTGAACCAGATGGGCTTTTCCGACAAGCGACAATGGATTCATGGTCATCATCAGATTGTTAATTCCAGATATTTATTGAGTTCAAATTCCACCATCTGCCACAGCAGGATTCGAATCCAGGTCCCCAGAACATTATTTGGGTCTCTGGATTAACAGTCCAGCGATAATACTACTGGGCCATCACCTCCCCTAAGATGGCTAATTTATACATCCCTAACACAAAAGGCTGAGCTAACCCAGTTAAGAGGAAACAATTGAACTGCAACTTTGGTTAATCAAGCCCAAATGCTCTTCAATGGTGAACTTGTTAAAACTCTGCCTAAAATTGGGAACTTCTGAACTTAAACTGCACACTTCAGTTAATTGCTAATAAATTACAAATAAAATTAGATTTGTACAAAGGGTTAAGACTTTCTTACCCACCAACCGCCTGTATTCAGTTCAATGGATGTAAAAGATCCACGTCCTGGCCAATACTTATCATTTAATCAATACCACAAATTAAGTGGTCATTATTACAGTTCTGTTTGTGAAAACCTTCTGTGCATATATTTGTTGCTGTGTTTCCGACATTACAATCATACTTCAAAAAATTACTTCATTGGCTATACAGTGCTTTTATTTGTTTAGTGGTTGTGGAAGCTGAAATATAAACATAAGTTCTTTGTTTCTTGTTTTTAATTTTATGTCACAGATGTTGTCTGTCACTCCTAATTATACATTATTTCAAGTATTTTTAGCCTACATGCATGCATCTAAGTAGATCTAAACACATAGGTATATTTGCCTAGAATCCAGAATTTATTTTGGTACCTTTTGGAGTTGCAATGATCTTATAGTGACACAGAACCAGAGTCCTATTTTCAATCTACTTACCTAATGAGTGAAAAAGTTCAGTCATTTTTGGATGGTCCCAACAGGTACTCTGAGTCTGGTGGCTAGATAGAGGATGCACAGAAATAAACATTAAACATAGAAGCTTACACTATAAAACTGTGTAAACATTTCTTAACACAAGTATTATCTATCAATATATGAGATTCAATGGCAAGCCATTCAGAACTGAAATCAAGAAGCACTTTTATCTTAATACAAACAATAGTCAAAATCTCAAATACTCTCTCCTAAAAGAATGTGGGTGCTGGATCAATTAGAATGTGTTTGACTGAAATTATTTTTGATAGCTAAAGGTATCAAGGGATATGGGAGAAAGGGAGGTAAACAGACTGAAAACAAAAAATGCTGGAGACCACAGCAGGTCAGGCAGCAGCCATGGAGAGAAAGCAAGCTAATGTTTTCAGTCTACATGACTTTTCATCAGGTAAATAGAGTTGAAGTACAGACTAGCCGTGGTTTAACTGAATGGTTTATACACATAACACCCAAATCTGGCTGCTTCTGCACCCATTTAGAATGGTTCCTTCCATTTTATGTACTGTTTTTCCTACCAAACTTAACCACTTTACAATTTTCTGTATTACATTTAATCTACCACATCAATTGGTGCCTCTCCTCACCTTGACCTCCAACTTGCAGCCTCTCTCCACTCCCAAACCTCTGGGTTGTGCCCTCTCCCGCTTCTCAACCTCTAAGTTACAGCCTCTTTTCCTTCCCTCCGTGACCTCAGGGTTGCAGTCTCTGCTTCCTCACCTCCTGCTGCTATTCAACAATAAATAGTCCAACCTTATTTTGGATATTGCAGCTTTGTGGCATTTTTCTCAAACAACACAAAATACATTTTATCTCCTTCCTTACTGAATTCATGCACCAAGCAAATATTCCTTGTCATGTCAAAATTAGGAGTTAAATGGGAGTCCTCAACACTAATGCAGTTGTTTGTTCATGCCAGCACCCTGTTCATGTAACTGCAGCATTTCTCTGTTGAGCTCAAATTCTCTTTCCTAATTTTTCTCATTCTAATGGCACTCTTTATCTTCTCTTTTAATTCAGGGCTCTTAGTCAGGCTTTCACATCGCTCTTTTTTCTCTCTATTTCCAGGTTTGATTCCACCCTCGGGCAACTGTCTGTGTAGAGTTTGCACATTCTCCCCATGTCTGCATGGGGTTCCTCCAGGTGCTCCAGTTTCCTGCCACAGTCCAAACATGTGGATTGTCATGCTAAATTGCCCACAGTGTCCAGGGATGTGCAGGCTAGGTGATATGCCATGGGAAATGCAGGGTTACAGGGATAGAGTAGGGAGTTGGTCTGGGCAGATACTCTTCAGAGGGTTGGTGTGGATTCGATAAGCCAAATGACCTCCTTCCACACTGTGGGCATTTTATGATTCTAAGTTGCAAACATCTACTACAAACAGACATGTTTGCCTAGAGCATGCAGGCAACCCACATTTCAAAATCACAACACATCATACTGCAATCCTCCGTGCGCTTTAATTATCTTATTTATCTTCATGATGTACTCTATTAACAATACCACACATCCCTATATCACTTTAAACCTGTGGAACCTTAACAACTTGCAGATATCTCCAATTAGCTAACTTCTTCCCTTGAACTACAGCAAGGACCAAGTCCTACAGGGTGAAAATGTTAGAAACAGCAACAAGCACTGTCCTGCCGAGCCTTACCTAACTTCATTACTGACCAAACTACCAGCACCCAGTTCAAAGTTGCACAATTACTCAAGCTTTGCATTTCGGAGAGTGACTATTGTAAACATGGAAGATAGGAGCAGGGAGGAGGCCAATTGGCTCTTCGAGCCTGCTCCACCATTCTTCATGATCATGACTGACCATCCAACTCAGCCTAATCCTGCTTTCTCTCCATAACCTTTGATCCCATTCACCCCAAGTGTTATATCTAGCCATCTCTTGAATACGTTCAATGTTTTAACATCAACTACTTCCTTTGGTAATGATTTCCACAGGCTCACCATTCTTTGGGTGAAGAAATATCTCCTCATGTCCATCCTAAATAGTCTATCCTGAATCCTCATACTGTGACTCCTGGTTCTGGACACACCCACCATTGGGAACTGCATCTATCCTGTCCAGTCCTGTTAGAATTTTATAAGTCTCTGTGAGATCCACCTCATTCATTTAAACTCCAGCGAAAACAATCCTAACCTAGTCAATCTCTGCTCATATGTCAGACCTGCCATCCCCGGAATCAGCCTGCTAAACCTTCGCCGCACTCCCTCGAGAGCAACAGCATCCTTCCGCAGAAAAGGAGCCCAAAACTGCGCACACTATTCTAGGTGTGGCTTCACCAAGGCCCTGTGTAACTGCAACAACACATTCCGGCTCCTGTACTCAAAACCTCTTGCAATGAAGGCCAACATACTATTTCGGAGATGGTAGGAACTGCCAATGCTGGAGAATCTGAGATAACAAGGTGTGGAGCTGAATGAACACAGCAGGCCAAGCAGCATCAGAGGAGCAGGAAAGCTGATGTTTAGGGTGTGGACCCTTCTTCAGAAATGGGGGAGGGGAAGGAGATTCTGAAATAAATAAAGAGAGAGGGGGAGGCAGATAGAAAATGGATAAAGGAGAAGATAGGTGGAGAGGAGACAGACAGGTCAAAGAGGCGGGGATGGAGCTAGTAAAGGTGAGTGTAGGTGGGGAGTTAGGATGGGGGTTGGTCAGTCAAGGTTACACCCTAACCCCCACCCCACCTCCTACCTACCAGCCTCATCCCCGCCTCCTTGACCTGTCCGTCTTCCCTTGACTGACCAACCCCCATTATAACATTTGTCTTTACTAGTCTTCTTCTCTTCACGTATCTATAGAAACTCTTCATGTCAGTCTTTATGTTCCCTGTATGCTTACTTGTGTACTGTATTTACCCCATCTTAATCAATCCCTTGGTCCTTCTTTGCTGAATTCTAAACTGCTGGCAATCCTCAAATGTCGTTTCCTTGGATCAGATACTATCGCTAATTTCCTTTCTAAGTCATGGATTGGCCCTCTTACCCATTTTGCTTTAATGCCAGACAGGAATAAACAGTTGTTGTAGTTCCCCCACGTGTTCCTTAAATGTTTGCCATTGCCTATCCACCGTCATCCCTTTAAGCAACTCTTCCCCATCTATCGAGGCAAACTTCATGCCTCATATCTTCAGTTTTCATTTTTAAGATTCAGCATCCTAGTCTCCAAACCAACTATCTCACTCTCCGTCTTGATTTGAAAAATTCTATCATGTTATGGTCACTCATCCCCAAGAGGTCTTGCACAGCTAGATTGGCAATGATTCCCCTCTCATTACACAGCACCCAGTCTAAGATGGCCTGCTGTCCAGTTGGTTCCTCCACATATTGGTCAAGAAAACCATCCCGTATACACTCCAGGTCTGTTGTAGTTCTGTTATAAACTAGTAGAACTCTCAACAATAAATTAGAAGGCTATGGCTTCAAGCTCTAATTTATATTTAAGCATATTTTTCAGGGTAATACTTCAATGAAGTACTGAGGAATTTGGATTGTGGGAGATGCCAGCATTCAGAAGAGGCATTAACTTGAGGCCCCATCTGCTGATAAGAGCTCAGATCAACTGAAGTAGTGACACACTTTGCCTAGGTAATAAATTCTAGTGACAAACGAGTCCATATCAATTTTGCATTTGGTTATGCTGTATATTGGATCCTCTCAAGATTAACCTTTTTCCACTATCTAAAGGTGAAGGAACCTTGGATGACAAGACATGTGGAGCACCTAGTCAAGAGGAAGAAGGAAGCTTACTTAAAGTTGAGGAAGCAAGGATCGGACAGGGCTCAAGAGGTCGACAAGGTAGCCAGGAAGGAACTTAAGAATTGACTTAGGAGAGCGAGAAGAGAAATGAGAAAACCTTGGCGAGTAAGATCAAGGAAATCCCCAAGGCGTTCTATGCTTATGTGAGGAACAAGAGGATGGCCAGAGTGAGGGTAGGGCCAACCAGGGATAGTGGAGGGAACTTGTGCACGGAGTCAGAGGAGATAGGGGAGGTCCTTATTGAATACTTTGCTTCAGTATTCACCAGTGAGAGGGACCTTGACGTTTGTGAGGCCAGCACGAAACAGGCAGATATGCTCGAACAGGTTGATGTAAGGAAGGAGGATGTGCAAGAAATTTTGAAAAACATGAGGATAGATAAGTCCCCTGGGGCAGATGGGATATCCCCAAGGTTATTACGGGAAGCGAGGGAAGAGATTACTGCCACTTTGGCAATAATCTTTGCGTCCACACTGTCCACTGGAGTAGTACCAGAAGATTGGAGGGTGAAAAATGTCATTCCCTTGTTCAAGAAAGGGAATAGGGCCAATCCTGGAAATTACAGGCCGGTCAGTCTTTCTTCTGTGGTGGGCAAATTATTGGAGAGGATTCTGAGAGATAGCATTTATGATTATTTGGAAAAGCACAATTTGATTAGAAATAGTCAGCATGGCTTTGAGAAGGGCAGGCCATGCCTCACAAGCCTTACTGAATTCTTTGAGGATGTGACAAAACACATCGATGGAGGTAGAGCAGTGAATGTGGTGTATATGGATTTTAGCAAGGCATTTGATAAGGTTCCACATGGTAAGCTCATTCAGAAAGTAAGGAGGCATTGGATTCAGGGAAATTTGGCTGTCTGGATACAGAATTGGCTGTCCAATAGAAGGTAGAGGGTGGTAGTAGATGGAAAGTATTCAGCCTGGAGCTCAGTGACCAGCGGTGTTTCACAGGGATCTGTTCTGGGACCTCTGCTCTTTGTGATCTTTATAAATGACTTGGATGAGGAAGTGGAAGCGTGGGTTAGTAAGTTTGCCAATGACACAAAGGTTGGTGGATTTGTGGATAGTGTGGACGGCTGCTGTAGGTTGCAACAGGACATTGACAGGATGCAGAGCTGGGCAAAGGAGTGGCAGATGGAATTCAACCCAGAAAAGCGTGAAGTGATTCATTCTGGAAGGTCAAATTTGAATGCAGAATACAGGGTTAATGGCAGGATTCTTGGCAGTGTGGA